AATGCGGGTAAGGGGCATTATTTGTCGCCAGACTCGAAATGGACGATGCGGTTTTCTGTGCTCTTGTCGTACCGTCCACGACTCTGCCCAGGTGGTAGCGAAGACAACGACGACGCTGCGACTCACAGGACTTACAACAACAGAGGCACAACCAGAGCAGTAAAGTGTAAAAATAAAACTTCGGATGTGCAATGACTGCAATGTGAACGAGATACGAGACGAGAAAAAATGAAAACGAAAAAAAAAAACAAAACAAATAGATAAAGGAGGGAGAAGCTGCAGCTGCTGCTGGCGATGAGCGAGCGCCAAGACGAGCGCGCTGGCCGCTCAAGCCGACCACGCGCAGGGTGCCAAGACCTGTAGCGGAAATAGTCGGCAGCGCAGTGCCACAGTCATAGACAAGTATTTCACAGTGTTTCCAGATAGTCCGTGGCAGACGCCGTACCGTCTCCGATCGTAATAATATTATTATGTTATTACTTATTAGATTAAAGCGTAACACATATTATTAATAGTTTCATACAATATATTATTAACAATAAACTTATTAAGGTATTTACTTAAAAAAATATCAAATTGCGTACGTGTGTTATGTGCTAAACGTACAATGCCTGCGAACGCACGTCCTATAATCTATATTATTCTATATAGATGATATTATATACATTTTATATAATATATGCGGATATTTGATAGAATTCGGAGGGGCCGAGTGGGTATTACCAGATTTTTCCCCGCGGCCCTAAATGTATTAATTACATATAAATAGGTACTTGACATTATACCGTGAAAAATAATTTTAATCGTTTCACTTATTCACTTTCGATGTAATGTAATGATGATAGCAAGATTGTGAATACCTACTGCCCTATAATAGTATTTACAACTTGATACAAATCATCAGATAATAATTGCTTATAAATTATAATTGTTTTTATTTTATTTTTAACCAAATAATATTTTTTAAATTTATTGAGATATTGAAAATGTGTGTAAAAATAAATATTTTATACTCTGGATATTTTCCAATAATTTAGGGACCGCCAAGTCCACGATCGCTAGCAACGCGTTATTTTATCATCAATATAATTTTTTTTAGCTTCTATTTGAAAATGAGCTCAACAATTATAATGTATAAGTATATAACTAAAAGAAATAATAATAATAATGACCTGTTCGGAGTTAGAATTTAGAATGGAGTAGACAGTAGAGATTAAATGGAACATTCAAGGAGATAAGAGAAGTAACTAAGTCCTGGCGTTTAATTTTAATGGCAAGTGAGGGGCAGTCGAAAAGAATATGAGACAAATCGCAGATGGATTCTTCCAAATGCAGAGTGCAAAGGGGAGAATCATTTAAATTTAATTTTTAAGCGTGTGAGGGTAATAAATGATGCCCTATACGTAGACGATTAACCTATCAATATAATACAATTATGTACAACAATATGACTTACGGCGAGATTAAAATTTTACGACTGTGACAACTGACAATGCTCAGTCGTGAACAACGTTCAGCAATAATAATTGATAAACGAATAAAAATATTAACTTATACATTATAATTATAATACCATTCTATTCTAATATACGGCCGCTGCCGTATATATATGCTGTTATATATATATAGGTAGGTATAGGACATGAAATGTACCTATGTAAACGCGGTTCGACTTCGATTTTCGATAAAAATACTCGGCTGATGGAATTTTTATAATAGATCATAATAATATTGTACCTACATTTGATGTGTACAGTGTACGTACTACGTACCCAAGACTCAACAAGACACGAATAATGTATTAAATATTGTAATTTATACTACTGCGGCGTAGGTTTTTAAATCGAAAGACACGCGTGCGAACTGCTCATTATAATAAATTATATCATTGACCATGATGGACCTACCTACATATTTCATATTTATATAGGTACACAATATAATATAGTATATATATATTGAATGAAATATTATATTTTATAATGATTATATTCTGTTTATCGTTTTAATTTATCACTGCTTGGACGTATATATTATATGTATTATATTAAACTATTTAATATGATTATACCTACTACGCTATCTATACTACTTATTACACCAGTCTACAGATAAATGCAATTTAAACCGCTTAGTAATAACATAGACAGACAGACAGAAGTTGCTGGCTAACTGCTAAGCATCAAGATTAAGAGTACATCCAACAGACCGAGTTACCTTATTTCTTATGTAGTTATGAACATATATTTCTGTAAATAGTCAGAATATTGATAGGGTATCAAATTTTAAATTAAATAACCATTTGTTTTAGTTTTGTATTATTATTATTAAAAACAAATTATCTACAATAATTAATTATTATACTTATTGTAGTTTCACTAAAATCACCTTGATAAACGGTTGTCTATAGGTACATTCTATAATACCTAAACCACCGAATAGGTAGATTCAGGTGGCAGGTAGTTGGTAGGTATTAGTTACACAAATACGTAGTGACTAATGACTATAATAAAAAATACTACGTATTAATAAGAGCTTGAAAAAACTGTCTCTGAGTGCATCACCATATCGCCCAATGTCCATCACCTACATGACTATATTATTATGCATTATGTTGTATGTAGATTAGCATATTGTATAAAATATGTACAATAGTCAACAGGTATATTTCTGCAATTGCATTATAATTAACTGTTTACTTACCTTGCCTATATTATAATAAACGAGTAGAAATCCCACACCGCTGAGCACGTCATATTGCGAATTGCCACTTTCCTACAATCCTACATGAGTTAAAATAGTTTCACTTTACTTTACCTGCTATTATATTATTTATGTTATAGTATTATGCGTCTTACGTTGATACAGTGATAGGTACTAGGTATTGGTACGATGTCTACGATTACATACTCGTATAATTTACTAGAACTTCATTACAACAAATATATAATATTTAATTGTACCTCCATATTTTTTTTAATCAATTGCAAAAATGAATTATTACACGGGCGTTCAATTAATGGCCGAGTTATTTTTTTTATAAAATTTAGTTTGATAGCATTTAATCTAAAATAAATTGGCATAATGCTATGTTTTTATTACAATACTAAGACGGTAGGTCAGTCTATACAATTTCTAACAATATTTTTACTCTATACCTTTGTCCTTTTAATATTGCTAATTGCTATTACTAATACAATACTTTGAACTAATTTCTGCCAACAACAAAACGCATATAATAAAAAATTAAGCAACAAAAAGTTTCAAGTCCCAACAAATAATATTTTTTGAACCTAAAATAAAATTGATAATTTTCGTTGAAATAAAAATTTAATATTATAGCTTGAAATATGTTGATCAAAAAAAGCCCTTTCGTATTTTTGAGAAGTGTAGGTTTCTGTATAATGACAAATTTTGAGAAACCTCATACAATGTATTAAATTGAAAATTCAACATTTTACAAGCTTTTAACTACAAAATAAATTCTAAATGTTCATTATTTTGTATTGTATTTCTTCACTTATAAAAAAATATGACTGCATTATTTTTCAATATTTTTAAATTGCTATGATAATAACTTATGGGTATTATAGTATGTGAGATCTCATATTCAATTTTGGACGCCTTAACTGTTTTATCAATAATTAAAAAAAAAACTATATAAATTAAAATTAGTCCAAATATTTTTTACATTTTATTACGTAGCCGTAGTATGTACATAAAATGTGGAATATTTTAAGTTTCAATGATTAATACAATAAGTGAATAATAACAAAGTAACAGAAGTCGTTAGAGATTGTTATTATATATAAAATTATAAAATTTAATAAATACATATAATATAAATTATAAACGTTAGAATATTGGATATCGTCAACTTTTTTTATTCTAAAACAAAAACTTAAAATTTGATGCACTTTTAAGTACAAGATTGTGCACTAGTAAATTGCGAAGATGAATATCGGGTAAAACTTTCAGAGAGTATGCAAGATTAACCCCTTCAAAAATTTGTATTTGAATTATCCTTTATTAGTTATTTAATCTACATAATTCAGTACCTAAACGTTGTTTGAAGAAATTATTTTCTTAAGTTTAAACAACGATTGATTATTCGTGTATTTTCCATACAATAGATATCGGATCCACCCACACAACATAATATAGGTTTAATATAATCATTAATCGTATTACAAATAAGTAATAACAATACATTGATGTTAACATTTCAATACCTACCTACCTATTCTATGATATTTAGATTGTATACTTACAGTATACCAAAATATAATATACTAGGTAATTTGGCTATTGGATTTTAATCTCGCTCTGAGTGGAATTTATTCTGCAGTCGCTCTTGGTCCTTGGAGTTATATTACATGACTACATAGTACATACTAGGTATTATAAATTAGATCTGTGTCCAATGGTAATAAACAATTGTCATTCTATTTACAGTATTTTAATATCGACAACTTTTGTAGACTTACATTATATATAGACGTCAGCACATGGTCGGATAAGAGATTTTTTACAAGGATATATTTATTAGGGTCAGTTAGTTGTAATCAAGTCCTCAAACCTATATTTACGAAAAATTATGATTGCTTCGATTAGATACTGATTAAACCAAATCACATAATTGGAGCTGAGATTTTGATGCACAGCTATAGCTACGCTATGCTCGTTTAACAATTTATGAATGTATCATGTATTATTGAATCAGAATAAGGTTATTTTTTCCTTTTTGGCATCATTTTAGGGCTTTATGAAAATTTACACTAAAATTCGGGTTTTTTAAAATTGTTTAAGATTTTTACTTAAAAATGTTGAATTATTACGTATTAACAAGGTTGCGGCCATATGTGTCCTACTGTACTGTATAGTTATGTATGCAGGATTTTAATTGGGGTACACTATTTATCAGTGGTGTGTAACTAGGGTCCATGTGTTGCTCAGCCAACACCTTAAATATGAGAGGGTAAGTATTGATAGAAGAAAAATAGTAAAAACAAAAACCCTATATTTGTCTGATAAAAAGAATATACAGTGTGTTCCAAAAGTCTCTTATATAATTCTAAGTAAAATTGATCAAGTTAGAAAAGTTTAAGTTAATGGTATTTGTAAATTTTTAGAGTACATTTCTCAGTGTACATTTTAATACAAAAAACAATATAAAATTTCAAAAATAGGTTGGTTCATCATGGTAATTGGTAGTTTAATATTTATTCTTAAACCCCTAATACTATCTACCTATGAGTTATTGTGACCAACAAAAGTGATAAAAAAAAAACAGTACACACCAGTTAACAGTTTTAACATTTATCTAATCAATTATTAGTTATTATCCTCATTCAATATTGAACAAATTATTGATAGAGCTATTAGTTTTGAATTTGGTCATCTGACATGAACAAATTTTAACAAAAATAATTTGATAATCAATATTTTGAGTTTGAAAATTTTAAAAATGCTCCCCATGATATAGCCACTGAGTTACATCACACAAAGGAGAATTACTTACTATAGATGTCAAATATAATAAATTACTGACCTGATTAACAAATAATTTAAAGTAACACACTAATACAAGTTATGAAATGACTAAGTGGTAAGTAAACTCGTACCAAAAATTTATTATTATCAATACTTATTACATATAAATTAAATAGTTTTGATACTGATACATTACTATAGTAAAAATTATATTTATTTTCCCATAGAAAGAATTAATTATATTAAACTAACTAATAAAATTATATACAACATAAATTATACTACACTTTTTACTTTTTTGACATCAACAAGGATTTTGTTGACAAATTAGGTAGAATTGGTTAAACTAGCCATTAAAAGTTCAATTTTGTTTAAAAAGTTTTTACCTTCCATTTTGTCCCACCTAACCTTTTTAAATGAACCTCCCAAATTTTCCCACTTTCTTTCTTTTACCAATTGGCCTCCAAAGAAGTCTTTTTTTGGTGAATGCGCAATACTCACACTGACATTGCCTTGTGGTTCACATTTCACAGAAATTAACCTAAAGTAAAATTTAAAATGATTAATTTCATAAAATAATATAATTATATTTATTACGAATTCTATCACTTAATCTTACCTATCTCCTATTGGTGAAGCTAAGAGACATGAGCTAGCATTTCCCATAGGCTCAACTGGACCTAGGCCAAGATGAGAAGAACTAGCTAAGAATTGCCATCCTTGTGTTTTAGCTACAGATTGTACTCCCATTATTTGATGTTGATAAATCTACAACAGTTTTTATTTTACATAAACAACAAATATTATGTACATTTTTTATGAATATTTAAAATTAGTTAAGATTTATATTTACTTGACAAAAAATGAGATCTCTTAATTCTTGTGGTTCATATGATAAATACATTACTCGACCATCACGGCAAATACATTTTAATGATTTTTTCATTACGTGCACAACTAAAGAAGTTCGACAAATACAGTCAAATCCGTGTGAAACAATAGTGACTTTAACACAAGCTTGTGTTGGAGAGTTCAATGAATTCCAATGTGAAATTATAATTGGATCTTTAACCTATGAGTAATATACAGGTTATATATTTTCTTAGTAAATATAATAAAATAAAATTACTTCTTTAGCTAATGTATCAATAACATATTCTGTACGTAATCTCATAAAAAAGTGTTGAGCTTGTTCTATAATTTGCTCTAATAATGTTTGGCTGAAATTTGAATTAAAAACAATAATAATGATTTAACTCTTAAATTATTTGTATAAATCTTTTTGTTTACCTTTTAGACATTTCTAACAATTCAAAACGATCGGCAGCATTAGGTCCAGCAACTGCACGGCGTTTACTTGGACCTAATGGCCCTGAAGAAGGATGCGGAAATGGTTGATGAGTATTTCTGTGGTGTACTTCTCTTAAAAGTTGATGCAGAGAGTGTTCTAGTACATGATCATGATCAGTTTTAGATGGTAATATAGTGTTGGGGTTACCATTTGTTGAACTATGACATAATCCGATTATTAACTGGATACCAGGAAATACCTATATAAGAATTAAACAATATAATATAAAATTATAGTTCTAAAGCATAGTTTTTTTTTAAATGTATAACTTTTTTTTCATTCACATACTGTAGCTGAAATTTGATTTCCAACAACCATATGAGGTATAGTTGCTTGCAATTGAACAGCTTCTTTGGCAAGCTGATTGAACAATTCTTTACAAAACAATACATTTTGAGCAGCTTCTAATTTTTGTTGCCAATGCATGTCCGGATTAGGAGTAGCTGGAGCTGAACCCAGTAGATTAAATGAAGTGTTAAAAATATTTTCTTGATCTAAAGCATCAAATTAAAAAATATAATAAGTTTTTAAAATATTCATTTATCATATTAATACATTACATAGAGAGACTTTTTTTTTTTTTTTTTCGTAATTATTTAGCGAAGTAAATCATGAGGCCAATTTCGTTTTAGTCGACGGGGAGGGTTATCCGGGAGTCTTAGAGGAGAGGTTAGAAATTAGCAGGTTTGGATAATTATTTGTTTTGGAATGCAATTTTTTATAGTGTGTTGAAGCGAGGGTGAGAAGAGTTGGAATATTCAGGTCTTCATGGATTGTATGATTACTAACATACCAAGGTGCATTTGTCAGAAGACGGAGACTGATCGACTAAAAGGATTGAAGAAGATTTAGATTTGAGTTTTTGGTTGAGCCCCAGATTTCTATACCCTAAGTCAATGCAGGACGAATTAATTGTTTGAATACAAGAGTTTTGTCACTAAGTAATATTTTAGAACGGAGAAGTTGACGAAGTTTATGAAGTTTTATTTTCATTGATTTTCTTTTGGTTTTGATGTGAGTGGCCCATGTTAACATGGTCTTTGATCTGGATGAATACCTAGATATTTTACAGAACTTTCTCTAGTGATAGTTTCGTATAAAGAGACTTAAAAATCAATTTTGGATTCAGTTAAAATAATTAATAATAAGTATATAATACAAAATTAATAAAATAATAGCTAAAAAATATAATCATGATTGTAACATCTTATTAGTTTTCTGCCAAGGTAAAGTATTTTATATGGTTGTAAGGAGGGGGGCAGGCTGGTATTTTGACTTATTCTTATAAATTAATAAATCGTTATGAAAACACTCTACAATAAATCTTAGTTTAATGCTTAACAAATGTTTAATTATTAATAAAATAAAACACATAGATGGATTTGATTACCTTTTTGGCATAATACCATTATGTAAGATACTCCTTGTAGTTCAGTAGGTACAGTCACTCTAAGAGCTGATGGTGATTTAGTGATTGAAACATTATGACTAGGAGAGGACGATGGGCTACTAGAAGAAATACCAGTATTTGATTGAACATCATCTTCTGCTTTTGTTACTTCAAACATACCACTTTGTCCAAATTTTGAACCAGCTGCAGATACAAATATCTAATTAATTTAAAGTTTTTAGAATTTTAACAGCACACAATATTACTTTCTTGATTTTCAATTAAGTATAGTAATTGAAATGAAAAAAAGTCTACATTTTGAAAATTTGAATTTGTGTTAAATAGGAAAAATATAAAAATATAACTCAGTAATAGTGAGTATATGAGTAATTAAGCTAAAATATAAAATATAAATGAGAGATCCAATATCACACCCAAGTGGTATAATGATTTGAATTCACAAAACATTGGCGTGAACAGTCACAAAATGTCTATTTTTTAACTTTTCTCCTTAACTATGATACCTAGAAAGTTGGTTGATAGGTTCATTAAAAAGGGATTATTAAGTAGATACAAAAGTGAGACTAAACATTTTTAAAAAAAATTACATTATTTTTCACACTTAAAAAGAGTTATTTTTTGCTAGATTTTCATTTAGGGGAGTAAATTTCCAAAACTGGAGAATAAATTTTGTTGTTTAGGGTCTTGTTAGACTCACATTGGCTAAGAAAAGTGCAGTGAAGATTTTAAAAACTTCATCTTCAATCGTTAATTCTTATTTTTCTTCTTGTCTAATTACCTATTTTTCATGTCAAAAAATATCTTATACAGGGTTAAATTGTTTTTATTTCGTTATTTTAATATCTACTAACTTTGTTATACTTATACAAACAATTACCTAAATTTTAGTTATTAGCCTGTGTACAACATTTAATAAGTTTTCTTCTTTGACAGTATAAATCAACAACTATGTCCAACACTTTTTTATCTGGCCTGGACCACACTAGCCTTAATGATCAATAATATATACCACCTATATATTTACTTTTATTACAATTATAATAACTTAATTTGCATTAAATTACCTGTTTTATAACTTAGGTCGCCAATAATGGCTGTAGAAACTTTTTTTAACCTCCAATTTTGTCGTAATCTTAATAACTCAATATGAAAATCGGGGGTTGTTCTGTTCCTTATGAATTCATTCTGACTACTTCTTAATCGATCTACAGCTGACATTATTATATTTGATGCACTAGCTAATGCCTATTTTCAAAATAATAAAATAACATTAATGAAATAATTATAAGCTATGATTAGTACTAGTTTATTTTATTGAATATATCTAATAAAGTTATGTACAATTTAGAGGTTTGTCTTAATATTAAAGTCGAAAAAATCAAACATCTTAACCGTATTTTATCTACAGTTTAGAAACCTAAACAATCTTCTGTAGTCAATGATTAAATTGAATAAAACTTAAAATAAATTTACATTATTCATAATGTTGGTTAAATCAGTGAACAGCAAGTTTATTTTTGTTATTTTTTTTTTAACATAGGTANCACGCAGAAAATCCATTATACTGTCCTTGCATTGATGCAGCTCCATCAGTAGCATTGGCAATACAATTTTCTACTTTCAGACCATTTTCTAACAAAACTTTTTTTAAAAGTTCAAACATACCTAATCCAGAGCTATCTGTACAGTTAACCATAGCTAACAGTTTCTCATGTATTCCATCTGAATTAACGTAGCGTACAACAATTGCACACTGATCTTTTACAGATATGTCTTGTGTAGTATCAAGTTCAATAGCAAACATTTGTGCTTCTATAACTTCTTCACTTATAGACTTTTTTATTAGTTTACTAATGGAATCAATAACTAAATTTATAGTACTTTTAGAAATAAGTGTTAATAGTCCTCCACGCCTTAGATTACCAGACTGATGAGACATTTTACTTTTTTTATAACATAGTCTAAATGATCACTCAACACAATATCAAATTTTTTAAGTAATAAAAGTATTTCTAAAAAATTTCCATGGTCTAATGATGGGTCATCTAAGGTATATGCAGCTTCGTGTATGCTTCCTCTATAGCTTAGCCCCCTTTTCCCAATAAGTTTCACAATATCAATGACACGTTCAAGCACTTGACGTTTCTTTTTTACCATTTCATTTCTTGATTTTTTTTGGTCTCTAAACAAAAGATGATCAATACTGCATTCTTTATAATCCATGAAATAAGCTTCAGTAGAATGATTATGAACAAGACTCTGTTCATGCTCTTTAATACGTTGATGTACATGAGACCAAGTACACATACCAATTATAAATGAATTAATTTCAGTCCCAAAAGCAATAACACACAGAACAAAATAAAGCTTTGCCGTTGTAGGTAAGCCAAAATCGTTGAATCTTATTATCTTTATAAAATACTTTTTTGGAATTAAATGGTGTGTTGATATTAGGTTGTTTAGGATGATAGTTAAAAAAACTTACAATACAATTAGGACTGGGTTTTTGAAACATTTCTGTTTTAGTTTTTTCAATAACAGATTCTTCCTAGAATTTAAGGTAAAATATACATATTATTTTATAAAATTGATTTAAGTTAAATTAACATTAAAAATATAAATTAATAAATTAAGTATAAAAGTATGCATGATTAGATAAGAATAATTAAAAAAAAACTTACAATATAATCAGGACTGGATTTTTGAAACATTTCTGTTTTAGTTTTTTCAATAACAGATTCTTCCTAGAATTTAAGGTAAAAAATATAAATCATTGTATAAAATTGATTTAAGTAAAATTAACATTAAAAATATAAATTATTAAATAAAGTATAAAAGTAAGCATGACTAGATAAGAATAACTAATAGGTTAAATCCTTAATATTTTAAATTGCTTACCTCCATTGTTTTATTTTTTAAGTTTTGACTAGACAATAAGGAGCGAATATTTTGGCATGACTTAGCCGAATCTTGAAGTAATTTTTTTTGTTTTTCCCTGGACTTTTGGGCTCCACCTTTTCTTTTATTATTCAACATTTTATTCAAAAAGTTTATAAATTTTTGGACAAGTAATTAAAAAGGCATTAAAAATTTAGAAAAGCGTTCTACACGAGTTCTGCAGTTTTCACTTCACAAATCACAGTTAATATGATAATTAAATATAATATAAAAATGAACAACAACAATAAAATAAGTTATTAATAAATTTGTAATCACTAATCACAATTCATACTAATCAACAAAACAGCTGTATGATTTACCACGAACATGTTACCACAGAATAGATAAATAATATAAAAACATTTTTATCATTTTACCTTCGTTTACTAACCATGCAGCAGCTATTATTCATACTTCATAGAATAATTAATGATTGTAGAATTGTTTACATCACGTTTACTCTAGGTTTTTGTAACAATCTTATCTTATAATTTAATCCAATATGACTATTTAAAATAATTATTTTTATTAAATAATTTTTAATCCAAAATATATATCGGCCCAGAGTTATAATACGACAACCGGCCCACCGGGAACTTTCCCGGTATCCCGGTGGGCCAATCCGCCGCTGCTCATAAGTTGTACTCTTTGGTTTAGACTTTCGTAAAAGCACAAGACTGGAAACGTTCAATCACATATTTCGAGACTTTCAAACGTTCCCGCCTTCGAAACGGCACCTCGAAAACGCATTATCACAAATCTTTATCCCCTCCTCTAACTTTATCAATAGAGTAAGATAGTAATGACGTCATGATAATATAATCAGTTGGTGATAAGAATGGCTGGTTCCAAACAAAGCGATTTCTGTATGAGAATTATGCATAGTTTTAAAGTTTTCCCAGATAAATAGCATTAATAAAGTTAAGTTACCCTAAACAAGTTACGGTGTACAGTATTTGTGTTCTTTACTATTATTTAACTTTTTTTTTTTATAAAAATCTTGAATATTGATTTATTTTGACCATTGTTAAATTACGTAACTACTTAACGTTTGACTGCAGGTGGGTTTAAACAATAGTTGTGTATATAAATATATATTTTTATTACAAATCCATATTTTTAAAGGTATTTTGCTTAATAGGTACAATGTTATTACTTTTTTAAATTTATTGTATAGGTAGTTCATTATGGTCAATTGTTTTGTACCAAATTGCAACCATTACAGCGAAACAAAAGTATGTAAATTTTATAGATTTCCTGCAAATAAATTGTTGAAATTAAAATGGACACAAAATATAAGGTAGCTATTAGTTATATTCATTTATTTTTATTGTTAAATATACTATATCTAAATTGTATACCTAGGTTGTATGTGTTACCTATATTTCATAATTAGAATTTAATTGAATGTATGTTATGTTGATATTTTTAAGGAGGTCTGACAGATGTCCAAGTGTGAACTCCCGAATATGTAGCTGTCATTTTATTGATGGATTAAAAGAAAATAATCCAACAATATTCAGTTGGAACAAAGAAAAAAAATTTTTGTTTGTTTCCCCAGAGAAAAAAAATAAAAGGAAACCAAAACCTACCTCAGTATGTTAAATTTGTATTTAACATTTAATATTTACATTTCCATAGCAAGCTTTGGGTTAGAATAAAATTAAGTGTTGATGTTTAGTACCTAGTTAAATAATATGCAACATATATTATATTCACTATTTTTTATTAAAAAACATTTTCAAAAGTGTGGTTTTCTTTGAATTTGAGTTTAAACCTTTAAGTTTTATTTGAATTTAAATTAATACTTAAACAGAAACCAATCGTTTTTTAATTTAATTATTATCTAGTTTTTCTCTTTAGTTTTATAATCATTTTCTATACTTTGGTTTTTTAAAATACCTATTGAACATAATATATATGTAGATTTACATAAACATCAGCATACAAACAACACCCACAAACATAGAATAATATAATTAATATAAATAATATAATTATTAAATAAAACTATATTTATTATATTATTGAGAAAATATTTTAAATAATAATTTATTACTTATTTTTTTTATTTTTTTTTGTAGAAAACAGTAGTTGCCAATGAAGAAGAATTACCTGATGAAATTGAAGAAAATTCTTCAGAAGTAGTATCTCAATCAGATATTGATATTGAGTCACAGATAAACTTATATGAATCTACCAAGCACAATGAAGAGAATTCAGTTTTAAATTTAAATGTTAAGTCGGTTGGATCCATTATTAATGAATCAGAAAATGCCCTTTTAAAGATTGAAATTGAGAGGCTAAATTCTACAATAAACAGTCTAAAAAAACAACCATTCTCGTTTGAATTTATAGAGGACAATGATGAAGCGATAACTTACTATACTAGAATGCCTAATAAGACTGTGATTTGTTTATTATTTGATATTTTTAAAAATGTTTCGATAAATTATTTCTTAGGGTGGAACGTGGAAAGAATCAGTAGAACAGATCAAATTTTTATGACACTTATGAAATTACGCCATAACTTTGATTTCACAGATTTAGGAGTTAGATTTGGGTGTAGTCGTACAACTGTTACAAATATAGTATTGACTTGGATTCACGCATTTCATACTATAATATTTAAGACTTTCATGAATTCTATTCCGAGTCAACAAAAGAATAAAGCATGTTTACCCAGTGTTTTCAATAATTTTATGAACTGTCGTATGATTTTGGACTGTACAGAAATTTATACAGCAATACCAAGTAAAATGGAACTACAAAAACTAACCTATAGTAATTATAAACACCGAAATACATTAAAAGGTCTAGTAGGAATTGCACCAAACGGGGTTTTGACTTTTTGTAGTTTGCTATACCCCGGATCGACATCTGATAAAGAAATAGTTAAACATTCTGGAGTTATAGATGTGTTTAAAAGTGGTGATCTTATATTAGCTGATAAAGGATTTCTTATAAGTGACTTATTGCCTGAAGGAGTATCATTAAATATACCTCCATTTTTGGGTGCACCTCAATTTACACCAAATCAAGTGATGAAAACATTGACTATAGCTAGAGCTAGAGTTCATGTTGAACGTGCTATAAATCGTATAAAGGGATATTCTATCTTAGAATTTATCCCTCCAAAATTATTACCATATTCTTCAATAATATTTCAAGTATGTGGAGCTTTATCAAATTTCCAATATCCTCTCATTAAAGAAGTAGAAATGTTTTATTTACAACCAATAGAAAATTAAAAGTTATACTTATATTTTTATAGAATATTAAAATGTAATTTTCAACTGCTATATATTTGTAATAAACTTGTATGTAACACTTAATATAATAAATTATGATTTAATTAAAAATTCAACTACCTAGTTTTTTTATTGGATTAGTTTCTCTAGATAACAGTAGACAATTCTTAGATTAAAAGAAGTTAACAAAATACACATTTCAACAATAAATGAAAACCAAAAAGTATTATTTTAACAAATAAGGGATAAACTCCTTAAAATAAAAGTGTTTAATTTTATCAATATTTTCAACCCATTGTTCATCTTTGGGAATTTCAACTATAACCAAATCCTTAATTGTCCATATAACTAAATAACAAATTTGTCTTTTTAGAATACAAAGTTGCCCTTGCATTTGGGAATAGTATTCATGATTCTTATTAATTCTTACCAAACCACCTTCATCATAATATATTATGTATGATTTATTATTTTTTAATACATCAATTAAAAGACTATTACGATAGGAATATGGGCACTTGACTTCGATAATAGTATCTTGACCAACTAAGCCATCAGGCGAAGCACCTATAACACCTGATGAATGAAGCCATAATCCAGTAACAACTACTGCTTTTCCAGTTACTTGTTCAAATTCTTCTATTCCGTGTTTTTCGTTTTCTCTACCCCATTGTATAGCTTTTATGCCATCTAACTTATAAGTTCCAACAAGCTTTTTGAAAAGAGACAGTGGATATCTATTACGTTCAATTGCATTTAATATTAGTCCAAAATTACTAGCTGTAATTCTGTATCTTCTTTTAATTAACCAAATTGAATTTAAATGCTGCCCAATGGTTTGTGAAGCTAAACTTTTTATTTCTTCTTCTGACATCCTAACTTTACTTAGTAAATACTGTTCTCTATCTGTAGCATTCTCAAATTCTGAAGATCTAATAATATCTTCTATTTCAATAGATGATGTTATTAATGGTTCAGGAGAAAGTAACCATGTTAAACCAATACTATGACTCTGTTGACTAAGTTTAGAAAATACATCAGACTTTACATTGCTATCAAAAGTAGCTATAGCACAGTCATTTTTTTTATTTTCAGGAACAGGGTAAAGTGCATCAATTGGTTTTGTTGTCATAAGAGGTGGAGGAACTTTTTTTGACCAACTACAACCTATATTTAAAATGATTTCAATATTACATTCTTTCGTGTTGCTTAGTAATAAATTATTTTATAATTATTACTTGCACTAGTTACTGAAATATTTTTAATTGCAAAAATTAATAATGTTGCCATATGATGGCATCGCACAAGTCCCCTTGGGCAATCACATTCAGCACGTGTAATGTCACCATTATCAGAGAAATATATCTAAGCAAAATAAAAAGAATTGTTAACATCATGGCTTTTAGATAAGTATTAATAAGTAATAGTATACGTCATTACCATTAATGCTAACTACATTATTGTTAATACCTAGAAATTATCCTATATCTATAGCTACCTAAAATACTAAACACAACTATTAGAGAAATGATTATTCATTGGTTTACTTGTACAGAGTATGTTTGATCCTTCATACTAGCCTTAACTACACCTTTTAAATTATTGTTTACAAAAATACATTCCTTCACATGCCCACTTTCATATGCATTTTCACCCCTTTTGACTAACTTTACTTCTTCTATAAAAAATGCATAAACACAATGTAATTTAATCCAACTAGACGCTGCCATGATCAGTATTAACACTTAGTTAGTAACACTAGTATTATTGTCTTACAATTAAGTGTAAATACTAAGTAGTAAATTAAAAACTGTATTTCACTTTGAAAAACCAATATGGAATGTGTTTGTTTGGAACCAATAAATCTTATCACGGTGTGATAACATTATCATGACGTCACACTACCATACTCTATTACATTTAATATCAATCTTCAGATTGCGACATCATTATTCATTTTTTTTTTTGAATAAATTACATTTAATTAGTGTATAAATACCTAATAGGGTACAATATTAATAAAATTATTGATAGGAAAAATGGTATACACATAACAATTGTATATGCAATTTAATGTTTGATTACACACAATTCATACGAATTTAATATGTTATTGAATATGTAATGCGATATTCTTCATAGGGGATAAATAGCTTAAGTGCTGTAGTTTTAGTAATATCCTTCAATGTGCTCCGTAGGTCGGTCGGTTAGGCGTATGTTCCCCAACGTAGGTAGTTGATAGACTAGGGTTCGAGACCGGCGTCAGCTAAAGTGCCCGCGCTTAACAAGGCTTTGCCCGTTGATTACATGGCTACTTGAATTTTTTGCGTTTTTTTTTCAATTTTCTTCACGAACTTTTTAATTCCTTATTATTTTGTTTTAACTTAAACTTTAACTTTTGTGTTATGATACACCATATTTCATTTTTATGAACATGTGTTTTTTTTTAGTAAAATTGTTTTGTGTTATTATTATATCTTACATTTGATTACATGTATCTACTGTCACTTTGTGTTACCTATATAACATATAATAAAGAAAATAATTTATTCATTTTAAAACTTTTATAAATAAATGTCATATAATATATTTTTTGTGGTCTATCCGAGCGGTAACTGAGTGGTGAATTCTATACACAATTAAAGCTTGCATTCTGTACCTAATTAATACAAAACATTAATATGATATACCTATTAATTTCAATAATTATGTCTATTAAATAAGAATTGATCAAGAATTTAACTATGCAATTAATATATAATATAACACTAACGCAAGTATTTGTCTGTATAGAAAGTCTATGTGGAAATTAGTTGGCTCCCACTGTGCAATGGAATATTTCGGCAATGTTTTTACAATATTAATTTGTAACTTGTAATGTTACATTTAAAGTGGTATTTACGTTATTGTAATGTGTATGGAACTGCTTATGTCCTGAGAAAGTAACTTAAATTGTAATATTAATACAATGCTTTGTATTAACATTCTATACATGTTACCCGCAACACTCCATGAATGTTACAAGTAACATTCCATGAACCTTACAAGTAATACTCCATGCACGTTACAAGTAATACTCTATACACGTGACAAGTAAATACTCCATGCACGTTACAAGTAACATTAAATTAATGTTACTAAATAACATAATATGCACCTTCCCAATTCCTTAATGGTATTCATATATTTTTTTTATTTTACTATAGAAAAGGATCAACACATTTATTTAATTCAAAAACAAATTAATAATAAACTAAGTGTTTTATTATACTTCAAAACATATAATTACATAAATACGTGTTATGCTTAAAAATATTAATTAATTAACATAAATATGCACAAAATTTAACTTATAAGATATTTTAACATTACAAATATATGATTCATAGTAATAACTTACTATATACTTAGATATCACATTATATAATTACAGTAAACTTAATATTTAATATTAAAATCATACAAATATAAAAGACATGTTTACATATTACAATTTATACACAATACATAAAATATATTTACTGTAAATAGATTACATATGTACAAACTAAATTCAAATCGACACAAAATAAGTTAACAATTTTAATAAATATAAATCATGAATTTATCAAACATACAATATAATATTATGATTTGAGAAAACTACTGTGGTATATCTAGATCATGACATAGCTTGATAACTACAGCTTTATTCACTGATATTTGTATATAAAAACACTTGCATTTAAAATCGTATACTGGAATAAGATAGGGTGTACTTATAGATTGAAGATCAATACTGTATGAGCCAATATCTTTGGAAGAACAATTGGGTAAATTAATAAAAGATGAAAAACTACTACATTTTTTTTACAAGAAATTTGATTTCATCGTTTGAAGTCAAAATAATTTTTTCAACAAATACAAAATCATTATTTTTTAACATGATGAATTTGTTATTAATAGAATTTATGTTTATTGTTGAAAATTTTTCTAAAACTACTTTTTCATAAGCTTTGTCATTTGATAAATGTTGAGTTTTAAGTAATTCTTTAAATAACTTAGGATATTTTAATTCTGGAATATTTTTAATTAGGTTTAGTTTTTCATAAATTCTGTTGGAAACCTCTTGCAGAGGAAACCTTGCACATTTCATAAATTTTTTTATTTCTTGTAAGTAGTTTTCATACTTAAAACAACTAAAAGAATCAAGTGGACCATGTTTTAGAACAAAAAATGGTAGATGTATTAAACTATGAACATTATAGGTGATAAACTTTTGACCATACAGAGCAGCATAATCTCTTACAAAAGTGTCCAGTAAAATTTGGGCTTTTGCATTTAAAGAAATACATGTTTCATGTGTTACAAGGATTCTTATTGCAGCTACCAAATGTAAAAAATGTACATAAAAGTTTTTTTTCAACTTTCCCTTTAAAACAATATGACCATAGTACAACAAAAAACATCTCAATTCTGTTGCCTTCCAAAAATAAAAATCGTCAAGTATTCTAGGAAGTCTAGAAAATTCAGATGGTACATACGGTTTTACATTTATAATATTTTCATTTATATCATTTTTTGCTTCATCTAATAACCGTACATCTTTTTTTCCTTTCACCCAAAATTCTAAAAGTTTTTTCATCACCCCAATATAAGTACAGTGCATATTATCAAGTGGCACGTCATCTGTTATATTAATTGGCAATATTTCAAGTACACTAGGCCCTTTATGGTAATATTCGTTTGTTTTATTCCTAAAACTTTCATTTGTTCTGAGAGAGGAATCCATGGACAAAAAAGCCATTCTACCATCAATATATGTACCTTCATCAGTGCATGTATTACATCCAAAGTATACATTAAAGCCTTTAACATTAAGTATATACGATTTAGCTGGTGCATCACACACAATATGTCCAATTGTAATATTAAATAACCTACCATTTATTTGAATTCCTAGCTGTATGATATTTAAAATATCATTTAAAAAATAACTTAAAAAATCAGCAGAAGAGTCAGGTTTTTTTAAACCGTGATAAATACCTACTGGTAAAACATATCTCGATAATACTGGTACATTATAAATACTAATTAAAATTGGCCAGAATTGGCTTTTAGAACTCTTTGATATTGGTAAACCATCCACATTTACGCCTAATTTCAAGTCAGTTGTATCAATTAAATCAAATTCATACTTATGTAATAGAGAACTAATAATTTGTTTAATATCAAAGTGTACATAAGCGCCAGGTTTCATAGATAAAATGTTATGCTTTTTAGGCGTATTCATCAAAGTCCTACCATCTTTAGGGACATCCAAACCCTCACTTTTTAAAATAGTTAATAATTTATTTAAACAATTATGGGATACATTAAATTCTACATTCCAAGTTCTTAATTTATCACATATACCCATATTGTCATTTACAATAGTACTTTCAATATCATTCACAGTTTCAGTTCTTAAACTATCATTCAAGTACAAAGACTCTTCACAATCATTTATGGTATTAGTATAAGTTAATACATTTGGGATATCAGTTATTATCAATGTGTTACTTGAAATTTCTTTTTGTATAGGAGAAGTTGTAGCTTCAGACATTGTATTCATCATAGAAGTTGTATCTTGTTGCAGAGAAGATCCTAAATTGGCGATGCATCTATCTTGCTCAGCTTGTATTATTCTCCTCAAGTGACGACCTGTTATTTGACAAAGCTCTTTTCTATTCTTTTTCTAGAAATAGTAAAAATTTACTTAACAAAATGGGTTCTAAATAAAAGTAAAAAAAATTATACTATTCCAATCAAACTTTTGGAATTCATAAATACTAACACAAACTTTTTACGTTGGATGATTAATATAAACTATAAAGTCCATTACTTTTATAAAAACATTTTATTTTCATGTAAAACCTTCTTACAATGTACATAAATTGTTATAAAAAAATTATTATTAAAATAAAAATGTGAAAGTAAAAAATATTATTCTAATGATCTTTTATGTCTTGTTGTGGCATAACGAAACCAATCAGCTAAAATAGTTTCGAATAGAGCATCACTGTAATCCTTTTGACTATTCTTTATACACTCTGTAATAAATTATCAATTAAAAAAGATTTTAAGTTTATGTGAGAAATAACTTCCTATTTAAATGTATTTACTTTTTAATACAACCACAATTTTAGAGTCACATAATTTTGTAGAAATATCTTTTCCTCTGCCAGTCCACGAACAACGTTTGGCAAACTCATTACTAAAAGTCTTTGCAAGAACTCTCTTTATAATGTCTTTTACAGCATTTCCACCAATAGATATAAAAAACTGCTCCTAAAGTTTTTAAATGTAGTTTGAATTATTTTTGATATGAAGTAAATTAATTAGATGTATATTATTATAAAAATATACTTGCCACTAATGAAACAAATGAATCATCCAATAAACAATTTGAAATATTTTGAAACATTTGCTCGTTAGTCATGGGCCAATTCGACATAAAATTACTATCAAAATTAAGTAATGGAGATGAAATATTGTTGATTACTCCTAGTTTGTTTACCGCTTTTTCTATATGATCAAGTTTTGATAATAAATGATCATACTTAATCCTACTTTGGATTTGTTCCATATAAATAGAATTTAATAATTCTACAATTGTATTCTGTTTATCTATCGGAATGACTTCTATAATGGTAAATATAAAAGATACAAAATAAATTGTTTTAAGTTTGCAATATTTTTTTTTTTTTTTAATTTTATAAGTGTTATATATTATTGGACCTGGTTGAGTTGTATCCAAAATTGTAAGGAAATAGTATTATGTAAACGTTTTATTTTTTTTTTTAATTTTAAATTTGTAATCTTTTATCAGCTCTTTATTTAATATCCTAAAAATTATGTGTACTTTATTTACCTGAGGTATGTTAAAACCACGAGATTTTGTAGTATTCAACGGTACATTTTCTGAACTTGTGGACGGAATTAAATGTACGTTACTTAATTCAGTATACTGATGCTCAGAAATGGTATCTTCAGTAGTTTGTTCTGCCATAGCAGTTATTGCACCTTTAATAATCTTTTTCTGTTTAAAAATATTGATACCTATAATTAAAAATAAAATAATTAGGCAATTATAAAAAAAAAAAAAATAATTGATTACCTTCATCAGTTGAAGTGTCAGAATCTTCATGTATCATTGATGACTGGACATATAATCTTTTGTTTTTATTTTTCATACTTAAAAGTTGCTGTTCCACTTCAGATGCTGATTCTTCAGACAATTCAACATGTCTATACCATGCTTTACTAAAATCACCTACAAATTGTTTATATAAATATTATAAATGTAGCTTTATGAGCTAGTCTAGGTTCATTTTCATTAATACTATAGATATATTTAATAGATACATACTATACTCTTTGCCATTTTCATAAAGTTTTACTCTGTACGTATTCCAATCATCTGATGGTTCCACAGCCTCTTTTAAGTAATCACTAGTAACATGAAATGTCCTAGGAGGCCATACACATTTTTCTATTCTATTGCCATCATTATCGACAGTTTTTAAAATCCAGTTTGTTGGTATGACACTATAATCATTAGAGTCCGGAAATGTAGCAATCACCCAACGTTTTTTGATAAGTTTCTACAACAATGTATGCAAAATGAATAAAAATAAATTAATAATAAAAGTCAATGCGAACAGGTACCTCGTACCTACTACCTACTAAAAAAAGTTACAACAGTTTTAACTAGAAATAAATAATCTCAGACTTATTATTTAATTTTTAAACGACAAAAAAGTGTTATATTACATAAATATATGACAAAAATATTAACTAAAAAGAATAATAGACATAATTACCTGTCTTACAGCTGCAGGAGTCGAGAATCCACTACTTTGATAATCCATTTCTTTCCGTAGAGCTTGTCTTTAGTAAGTAACGAAAATATTAAATAACGTGAATAAATATGAGAGAAAACCAACAAAATATGAACAATTTCGAAAATAGTAAGTGAAATAGTCACATGGGTTATGATAACTTAAGTAATTGTAATAAGTAATAACTAGGTATTATTTTAAATATTATATACTCTGGAATCTGCCGCAAAGACTGACGAATGACAATAGTCAATAAGTGACAGTGCCCACTACCCAGCTATATAGCGCGCAAGTGCGCAACGCTTTCTGCGGGTTCGGCTTCACCGAAAACCGAATTGGAAAAAACCAATGATAGTGTTTGTAACAATGGGATAAACTATTTAGGGATATTTGTAAGATTATAAATAAAGTGATAATATTATAATTGGCCGACTGCAGCTGCGTGTTAACGAGTAAACAAGATTATTTCAATACAACAATAATTTAACATTGAATGAATATTAATTTGTAACATTGTATACATGTACAACTTTTAACATTTCAATAATGTTACTTGATAATATATTAGATATTAATTGTATGGAACAATTATACGACATTGCATTATTGTTACTTAGTAACATTTTATTGTGATCGAAACTTAACATAGCAGCTACATTTTGTAACTCAGATTGCACAGTGGGAGCTGTTTTATTATTGAAATTTTTATAGTACAAACTATTATCAACAACAATAGTAACAGTAAGTATTAAAATTTAAAGGTAATGTTATGCACATTATATTGGTTAATATTACAGAAGTTGACTTTTTATTATGTGAATCTACCTTTTATTTAAAGTCTTACAAATTATAATATCGCATATATTATATTTGATATTTAAATTATTAGTTATTGTAATTTGTACATAGATAATGGCAAGGAATTACTGGGTTATAACTTATGCTTATGCATGTATGTATAGGTTTTCATAGTATAGTAATATAAAAAGTAAGCATATCGTTATATGAATTAATAGGAAGTTAGAAATTAAATGTAGTTAAATAGTATTAACCGAGAGTACACAATATTGACAGTCTAAATAGGCACCTAACTCTTATAGTGTATAAATATAACCTATATTGGTTTATATTTAAATAATAATTAATATGTATGTCCATCAGGGGAGGCCGTATTAATCCGGAAAATAAATGGGCGGA